CAAACTTGACAAACTTTTTTTAATTCAACATTTGTCTGAATATTGCAAATAAATAACCCATTTTACAACAACTTTCTTACCTCCATGACCTTTCAGATGAGTTTGAATTCCCTAGAAGCTCATTAAACGGCGCCTCCTTCCCGACTAGAGAGCCCTAAAAACTATTTTTGATTAATTAATGAATCCTAACTACATAACCATTCCAAAGTAAAATCCAATTAAAGCCACCGCTCTGAGCATAATCGAGGTAGTTATGTTATTAATTAGTTTCCCTAAAGAGAAACTATTCAGAGAAATCCAGGCCCTGCTTCTTTTCATGGTAGGCAAATACAGAGTACAAGAGAACCATCATTTATTCAGGAGTTTTACAGAATTGGATATAAGGCCTTTTAGGTTAGGGCTAAAGCACGAGTTCTCTTGGGGTTGCTTGAGAGATGTGGATGGGATCGCAGTTGATTTTTATCCAACGTTTCTTTATAAAAATTTGATTTATGGAATATTTCATAATAATGAGAACTATCAGATTTATTATAAAGCTGTCATTTAATTTGGAGCTCCTATTTACCCCATTTTTACACCAGACCACAGCAGCACCGCTTCTAACATGCTGCCATGTTAACCAAACCAATTTCAGACTGAGATATGGGCAGAGTTTTAGGGGCATCTATAAAATGTCTGACAACAGACACATCCAAACACGAACAAACATTCCGGACCATACAAAAATTAAAAATAATAATAATAATAATAATTTATGTTTTACATATTTCCCAGGTTATTTGCACTAGTGAGAAATAAAATCTATTGACTCAATTTTGGCCAGACTTAGTTTTCTCTGCACTAGTATAAAAATAATGTATTTTATGATAACCATTTTAAATTAAGCTAGCCTATTAACGGGTACATGCTAATCGATGCAAATGGACGCAAAATTAAAACTAGATCAAATCCCTGTCTACCTCCAAGCTAGTTCTTAATCTTACAGCTTTCTGCCTGTTTTGTTTTTGGGTTTTGTTGTTGTTGTTTTGCTAGTTGCATTAAACTTAAACTCAAATCAGCATTAGTTTTAATAAAATGTTTAAATGCAAATTCGAGCAGCTTTTGTGTGTATTTTAAGCAATGAATTGTCTTCTCATCCCCTTCTGGCATGCCCGCATGGTGGCACTTGGGGTCATCTTGGGGTGGGCTTAGCCTACCCATGCCACCTTTCCTACAGGCATGTATGTGTTCAGGTTCTTTATGTGCAAAACCTATACGCGCATGTGTGTGTGTGTGTGTGTGTGTGTGTGAGAGAGAGAGAGAGAGAGAGAGAGAGAGAGAGAGAGAGAAATAGACTCTAAAACAGAGGGATCAACCTTCCCTCATCTCCACCGTCTGCTAGACCAGGTTTTCAGGGGGAGTGTGAAGCCTGAGCAGAATTTCATATGCTAGAGTTCAGACTGTTCCATTCTATTGTGTGCTAATAGTATAGATCTGCAAGTTGCCTCACACAAACTGACTTGCACCACAGGTAAAAGCATGTATTGTTGTTCAGTATGGTGTCATATGGTGTCATATGCTTGCTCCGAACAATTGCATTGTTTAGAAAGAGGCAAAAGTCGATAGTAGTATAATATACAAGTAAAGTTTCTGAATATACAGAATTTTAGCTTTTTAGTTCAATAATATCAAGTATATAATAAGTATAAGAATTTAATAATAAAAGCAAACTTGATTTATATTCAACTTTCATATTTTATTACTATTAAAGTATTTAAAGTATTTAAAGTATTAAAATTTACATAATTTGTACATTACCTGAATATCTGAGTAAGAATGAAAACTATTTATACATTCTTGTCTTGAATTAATATTCAATTTTAAAAAATTATATTTCATCTACCAAGTTGAATTCAATTCAAAGATCACAGCTAGCATTTTAGTTCATTTTGTCTTTACTTATTAACTGTAATAAAAACATCCAATCAAATCTATACCAATTTAAATGAATAGTACAACTCGTGATCTTTGCACAAGTATCTCATCTGTTCTTTATGTATTATATATCTATACTGTACCTAATGGGAAAAACGTTTATGAAAATATAATTCATTAGATAAAAGATAATATGAATTTTTATTGACAAATTTATTACTTCATGAATAAAACGTGTTCGAAAAACATTTGACGCCAGCATATCAAGAACAATGACAATGTTAGAACAATCAGCTGTTCATGATCTATTACATAACCCGGCATATTAATAAATCATAGATTTGTAATCTTTGTGTTTTGTTTTGATTCCATGCCTGGTGTCTATCATCAACCCTTCCTGTAGATAAGTTACTCACGACACATGGTTTCACCCACATTTGCCCATACACACCCCACACCACCTACACACACACACACACACACATGTCCGACCAGCACGATTCAATTAGGAGCCCTAAGCGTGGACCTACACCCCTGCCGTCACCCTTCTGTTTCCTGCCACGGACGCCGCTACCCCGGCATCGCAGCACGATGGGAAGTGAGCTGTCATCACTACGATAGGGCGCAGCGGCCGGCTAATCAGATGTGGAGATTTGGAACGCGGTGTGTCAGGCCGGTTTAGCCAGGCCGCTGGTCCATTTGGAGACTTTCCGGGCCCCGTTTCCACGTACCAGCTCCTTCATTTAGTTAGCGGCAAATATTTACCTCCAGGCAGGGAAATGTGTATTTCCTGTCACTGTTAGCGTAGAACAATAATTCCTGCTCTCTCTTTCATTCTCTGGCTGTGGGTTTGGGTTTTCTCAGAATAGCAGTAATTATCACACTTCCCTGTATTATGTAGTGCTGCTTATTGTCCTGGAAGAGCATGCATTAGGACTGACTCCGATCCGGAAAGCTAAATTTCTTTAAGTAGCAGGACACAAGTGAGGATCGGACGATGACTGAGCACAACCGTATTCAATCTATGACGAATTTCCACAATGTAAAATTCACCCACTGGGAGAAAGGTCATAAGAGGTCAGTGATTGTTTGAAAGGTGTTTGTGGTTGGTTAGTTGACTTGTTAAGAGCTGATGGCCCAGCCAATCATTGTTGCTGCTGAAAGTAATCTACTTCCTTATTCCCACTGACAGGCCAGGCAGCAGTCCACAGGCCTATACACACACATTGACTGTCAGGAAGCGCTCGAGGGTATTGATCCGACCAAGTCTTAGATGCCAGTCGCTGACAGGCTGCTCTCACCGTCTCCTTCACTCTCCTTTCTTCCTTTTTGCTCCTCTTTCTCTTCTTTTTTTTCCCTCCCATTAATCAAGGCAAAGAGGAATAGTCCTTTAGTGCTATTCATAGATCAGTGGAGCATTTGAATGATTTATAATACACTTATAAGCACATATGGAGCCTTTGTAATGGTTAATACACGACTTAAAAATGGCAGAGCAGCAAACATTGCGAGATTGCATGCCTTTAATTATATCACGAAGACCCATCTGCTATGCACTGAGACTCTCAAATCACTTGTCTTGTCTCTCTCTGTCTCTCCCTCGCTCTTTCGCTGACTCGCTCATTTGTCTCTACATTAATTAGTTTGTTTCTCTCTTTAGAAGCACATTGTGTAAATTGCCCAAATGAATGTCAAAATTAAAAATGAGAACTTAAGAAATGAAATGAAAAACATTCCAGAGAGAGAGAGAGAGGGAGGAAGAGAGAGATAGAGTAAGAGACTGCCTTCTCCGAAGTTCCTATTGTCATCTTTATTTACACCTTGATTGTTTGTTCACCAAGCAACTTAATAGCTATTTGTGAGGAGTGCAAAATCAATACTTCTAAGCATCAGACCAGGCGCTGTGCAGGCAGGCAAGATGCAGGCTTTTGAATAATAGCTCTTTCCATGAGAATCAGCACATTGATTGGGAAGCCAATACCGCTCAGTGCTGGAGCGTCATCTGAATTAATGCCGCTTTGATGTAGCCTGGCTATAAATGATAGGAATTAATGTTGTTTTGATGTAACAGAACCAGTCGTGGCAGGACGGGTCACAGCGGTAGTGCCTCTGATCGGCCAAAAATGCAGGGAGATTAGAGGATGAGAAAGAGAGTCTGACATGGTGATAAATATAGATGATAAAAGCTCGTGGCTCATTGAGGCCTCCTCAGCTTGGACCCCTGCAGTACGTCTGTAAATCTCATTTACGGTAACTCTGCACACCAGAAGAAAAAAAGAATGACATTAGACTCCTGATGACAAATAAATAAAGAATAAAAAAAAATAATAATGGGGATCCATAAAAGGCTAGTGAAGAAGCGAATTGAGAAGGGAGAGAAGGCTGAACTGTTAGTATGCACCCTTATCCATTTAAACGCACTCTAATAACAAATATGTTGCCCTGCTCAGTGTCGTGGAAAAAGCACTTCCCATATGCTTTAAGACTGCGCTGAATTTATCATCTGGAAGAGGACTGTCGCGCCACTAAGAATATATTGCCCCAAAAAGTCGCAAGCGTAATGGCGTTGATATGATTTCCATAAATTTTCATCTGAAATTTGATATTTGTCTCATTGGAGAACAATGGAAACTATATATGAGGGTGGGATCGCAGAGGCAAACTTTTGCCTCAAACCTGAAATGAAGGAGCCCATTTTGAGCTATGATGGATGGGACTCGCACAGACGCACACACACACACACACACACACCCACCACACACACAAACTCACACCCACACTCTCTAAAACACACATACACATATACAAAGATGCTAATGGCATAAAAAGGCTTCAATAGTAGTCTGTCAAGCAGTCTCGGATAAGAAATATCCTCCAGAGTTTTGATATCGCATTGGCCAATGCTCTGTGTTTGCCTTTTCTCTGTGTGTTTAACAGGGTGAGTATTATAGAAACACATGGACATTACATTAAATTTATGGCATTTTGGCAGATGCCGTTATCCAGAGCGACGAACATTAATCTCATTTATACAACTGAGCAATTGAGGGTTAAGGGCCTTGTTCAAGGGCCCGACATTGGGAGCGTGGCAGTGCTGGGATTTGAACTCACAACCTTCTGATCAGTAGTTCAACAACTTAACCACTGAGCTACCACCTACCTACCATGGACTGAACCTTCTTCAGAAAGGAAATGTCAAGAAGAAGACTTTACAAATTATTTATATTTTTTAAACACACACACGCACACACAACTGCACAACTGGAGATTCGATGGTGGCCAGGCCGATCTGTGTTTTAGGAGTAATCGTTTCATCACTAAGTGCTTAAGCCACCATTAGCCAGCCGGCCTGTCTTCATGGTAGAGTGTGTGATTTACAGAGCGTAGCAGAGAGCCCTCGGAGATTTATCATCCACATACACACCCACCCACACACATACAGACACACACACACACATACAAACGCACACACTACGGATGCTCCCCTATTGACCCAGCCAACTGTTACACCATCCCATTCACACATCTAGGCTTAACACAACTATGTTAGAATTGTACTACCGAAGTTTTTGTGCATGATAACAACTTAAACAATTTTATGAAAACGAAAAGCATACCACTGCATTGCTGAATTCTTAAATCTGATTGGTCAGAAAGGGTTTAATGCGCTGGTTATAATATGTTATTGTTTCTATAGTAACAACTTTTTCAAATGGAATTCTATGGTAGATGCTTGCCATAATTTTGTCATCTTGGGCGATCGAATGCAGCTTCTACCCTGTGCATGCGGAGCTTGCATGTTCTCCACGTGTTTCAGACGTTTCCACCCGGCACTCCAGTTTCCTCCCCCACTCCAAAGACATGCGCTGTACGCTGATTGGCATTTTCCAAATGATCCATAGTGTGAATGTGTGTGCAATTGTGCCCTGTAATGGGTTGGTACCCCATCTAAGGTGTCCCCCACCTTGTGCCCCAAGTTCCCTGGGATAGGCTCCAGGCTCCCCGCGACCCTGTGTAGGATAAACGGTAGAGAAGATGGATGGATAGATGGAATACTCTACATCATTTACAATTGACGCTTGCCACAATTCTAGGCATAATCAACAGGGAAATAATTGAGATGTGAAAGTGATTCAACACATGGCGTAATGAACATGTCTCTCGCCCTCATTTTAACACATATTTTACACACTTTTTATATCACAGTGCTCTCGAACTCTCAATGCTGATTGGTCAAAAGGGGTCGATTAATTCTCTATAACAACAACCCTGATAGTAGTTCCAGCTGTACGTTTTATATTAATGTGTTTGTTGTGTTTGACTATGTTATTGCTTGTAGAATAACCACATACACAGGGATTGTGATAGTTGATATAGTGAAGTTTTCTGTGAGGAGATGTTATTTAATGTTTTTGGAAGGAGTCTCCAGTGTCAGCTGTAGTTTTACAAAGATTCAGCTTTTTATGCATGCCATTGTAATGGAAAGGAGCGTGTAGGATGCTGAGGCTAGCTGTGGGTGGTCATACTACGACAGTGACCTCTGGAGAGGGCAGAGAAAGTTCAAGTGCGTTGTTGCATCCTCCACTGTCTAGGAACCACCGTATGGTGACATTTACACTACTGTGTGATTGAGCTACAGCTATCAGACCCGCCTTGGCATTGAATGTCATCTGTAACACCGGACAGGTCTGGCTAGATTGAGGTGGGTGTGTTGAGTGGAATGTGAGTACTGTGTAGTGTGTAAGTGATTTAGCTTTACTGATCAAATGTATTTCAGGAGTGTGTAGTCTAGTTGTAGATTACATTACGTTACTGAGTGTATTTGAGTGAGAATGTAAGATGTATGATATGTTGATATAATGATGTGTTTTTCGATGCAGCAATTAGAATAAACAGATAGAGAGAGGGGGCAAGAGAGAGAAAGAGAACAATGAAGCCAGTGTTTTTAACATCAAAACGGCCTGGACCTGCAGAATGTCATTTCTCCCTCTCAAAACAGCCAGTGGCCAGATGGCCCCCCAACCTGTTCCCAACAAATAGCCAGACTGAGGTCCTCAGCCATGCCATGGCGTGCATGCATGCGTGTGTGTGTGTGTTTGTGTGTATCCTTGCCTTCTCTCTCTCTCTCTTTCTCTCCCTTTCTCTCTCCTGCTCTCTCAATCCAGCAGCAGGTGAGTGGGTGCAGCCTGGGGGATATGGAAGAGATGGGTTCACACAGGCGGCTCATTAGCAAGCACTGAATTACACTCCAGACACGTCTTTATGTAGACTAATCATATTACAGCAACCAGGGGAGAGAGAGAGAGAGAGAGAGAGAGAGATGGCATTAGGGGGAGGGGGGGTTCTGCTTAACCTGCCTTGCAATCTGATTTGCCCGGGAGAACTCAGTGTAATCGAGCACCTACGCCTGACATTGCTTTATCCATCTACCCATCTATCTACACACAGGCATCTCTCTCTCTCTCTTTCTCTCTTTCTCTCTCTCCTGGGCCCTCCCTCTGAAAGCACAAGTCACCAGTCTCTCTGTGGCCTTCTCTCTCTCTCTCTCTCTCTCTCTCTCTCTCTCTCTCTCTCTCTTTCTCTCTGGTGGTGCATTGTGAATGCAGCTTGGTTGAGGGTGGGGAGGGGGGGCAAATATAATCGGCAGTTCGCCACGTGCCTCTGACCACCATGCACAGTCATTAACCTTGACTGCCATAATTGAATTCAAGGTTGATTGCTCATGACCCTCCCCCAGTCGAAGGTCCTTAAAATGTACATATTCATTACAGGGCCGGCGTTCTAAATGGATTGCACAGGGAAAGCTGTAGCAATCTGGTGGCAGGACCGGCGGCTGCCTCGGCCCCGCTCTGAGGGACAACATTTTGGGGGGGGGTATGGGGGTGAGGGTTAGGGGCACTAATTGCATCCTGGAGAGAAGGATTGGATTATGAAAAGAAGTGAGAGAATGAAGATAGATCCCTGTGACACTGTCAAATTAAGGTCGGACCATGTAACGCAGCCAGATGCGAAGATGTACAGCGACATTACCAGAAGAGAAAGACAAGGGAGGGAGAGAGATAGAGAGATAGTAATGATGGGGGGAGATGATGGCGTCTGAACACAGGCATGCTTGCACACACACACACACACATATGCATGCAAACACACTAACCCACACCAGCAGGCGCCTCATCTCATCTCCTTTCATCTCCTCTCTCACACCTTTACTAAGTGTTCCACAATCATGCCCCCCTTCTCTGACAGCCAAAGAGAGACATATCTCTCTCTCTCTCTCTCTCTCCCTCTCTCTCTCTATCTTTCACACACACACCCACACACACACACTCGGCCCTGTTCACCCGCCACTGGCCCCATGTCCATCCGCTAATGGCTGTCAAATTACTATCACCCAAACAAGACAATTAATTTGTCTCAAGGATCCAAGCATGTCCCCGCAGCTGGTCACCTTCTCCCATGCCTCAGTCAAAGGACAAAGATTGCATAAAGTTTATGCATGGGAGAATTGCCTGTGCGGAGAGAAAATGGACAAGCCAGTAGCGCAAAGCACTTATAGTAGCATTTGTCATTACTGTATTACTCCATACCCGTATCATCATGTGTGGCCTGACTATGTCACTGTGAGAACTAACTGTCCTGTATGCGAGGAGGGTTTCACACCCCAGCTGACCTTCCAAGCCCCAGACTTCCGACCTGGATCATTCCCAACATCCCTGGCCCGCAGAGAGCGATCCAACTGTGGGATTATGTATTTTCCAACCTGAGAGTGCAGGCGTTTATCTGTAACCCAGCACAGCAGCGTCTGTGGAGGAAGCAGCGGAAGAACAATGGAGGGCTTCCCCGCTTTTAACCTCTTAATGTGCTGTAAATGTGTCCCCTGACTCCCAAACTCCCCATCAGCCAGTGGATTCGCTTACCTCAGCCAGCCGCACGGGATCTGTGGAGTCTGGACGTTCACAGAACCCTGGTGGCCCGGGGACTGTGTGTGTGTGTGTGTGTGTGTGTATAAGATCTATGTGCATGCCAACACTGAAACCTAGTAATTACATACCATATTATGCTACATCTGCTTTCCTGGCCACTTCACAACTGCAGCTCCTGCACAAGTGGCCTCATTTGTTTCTGCTGAGCGAAACCATTTAGCAAAGCTCAAGCATTGATGAGCTGCTGCTAATTGCGCTCACTTTGTTTGTGTCACTCTAATCTCAGCCAAAGTGTTCACAATAGACTGGATCCCAAACAATCCCAAACTACAGTGCAGGACTACACGTTTCTCGCAAATGCATCATCAAAGATCAGCCAACTTTTTCTTCTTTTTTTTTTAGCACAAAGTAAAGCAAAGAACTCAGTCCAGGTGGACGGCTTCAACGGCAATCAAAAGACACTCGCGAGATGCAGACGTGAAGAATTTTCAAAGCGACGAATGAACGTGTGTTTTTTTTTTTTTACGTTTTTAATTGGAGACGCTAGGGCAGATTTTCCGAGCTCTGATCTTGCATAAACGTCGGTGTTTACGTTACATTCTGAAGCTTTTGGAAAGGTTTCGGAAGCTTTAAAGTACGTAACTACTTTAAGGCCTTTTTTGAAGCACTCCCCCAAGACACATTTGTTAATTATTTGCTTTTTTCACGCTGAATTCATCTCCCTTCATTAATTTCCCTGTGTGTTTTTAACTGATGTTCCATCCTCAGATGTACATCAGAGCATTTCAAACAGCACCCATTCAATCCGGCGACTGACCGTCCTGATAATAGAATAATTAATAAATACATAATGATCACCACAAAGCTTATGTCGAGCCCTTTGCTTCAAAGGAAATGAGTTCAGAATGTTTCATTACCTGCATATTAACTCTCCTAAGAGCCCAGGCAAATGATAAGATGATCAAAACAATCTTACGCTTTATCATTTCTATTTATCGGCTTCTTGTAGAAATCAGCATGGTACTGCTGTTATCCAAAATGGGGAGGTAGTATTTTCTTTCAAATATTTTCTACGATAATATTGTAACAGTTTCGGTGATATTGTTGTGCCTTACGATGGTGATTTTTCCACTGTGCTGTACGGCGGAAATCACAACCCCCCATGATCAAAGTTGGTATAATTACGTATATTATATTATATTATTTAATCATAATCTTTTTATTTCAATGGTCA